CTGCTTCCTGCCGGGCTGGGCTGAGATCAAGTCGGCGGCCGACCGGCTGCAGGCTGGGACGCTGCTTCCCGCCCGCAAGCGGGGCATTCGGCTCCGCCTCGGCGCCGCGGCCGCCGCACCAGCCCAACGTCCGCACTGGCCCCCCCCTTCGCTCGTCGCTCGTCCCTCGCCCCCCCCCCCGCGTTCTCAGCGCTTCGCTCCTCCCGCTGGCTCCTCGTTTCCTCCCTCGCCCCTCGCCTCCTGTTACCCCGCCCTCCTCCCTCCCTGTTCCTTGCTCCTCCTCCTCCTCCTCCTCCTCGTCCTCCATTGTTCAAGCAACGAGCCCCCTAGGATCCAAGCTCCCATCGCCCTCCTTCTCACCTCCTTCCTCCCCACCTCCTCCTTCGCCTCCGTCCACCTCACCTCCTTACACCATCCCTCCCTCTTCGCTCCTCCCTCCAACTTCCTATGGTTCGACGATGGATGTACTTTGTTGTCTCGACGTGGGTTCCCAGACTTTTCGAACCCTTGCCTGGGGCTGGCGTTTTGGCACTGCGTGCACCTTCTATCATACTGCCAACCTTTTCTGCCAAGCTCGCGAGGTAGCTCTCGCTCCCGCCCGCCCGCCACCGCTCGAGGGAGCGGGGAGAGGTCCTGCAGAGTGCACCCTGCCAAGGCCACCCTCGGCCCCAGGATGGTGTATGGACCTTCCCGGCCTCGGCCCCGGCCAGGAGGATTGCATTCGCCATGCCAGGGCTTAGGACGAAGCCAGGGCCTAGGACGAAGCCAGGGTCCAGGACGGCTCTGGCTCAGTAGGCATGGTGGTGGCGCACAGGTGCCGTCTGCGCGTGGGTCCGCCTGGCGAGGGCCGATTTCGAAACGGCGTGACCAACGATCCGTCGCGTGGAAAGGTCACTCCCGAAGCCCCTGGCCACCGCGGGTTGATGCGCCTCGGCCGATCTCGGCGGTGAACCTCCCCGATCCGTCACGGCCCCTGGGTCCGAGACCTTCCCCAGGGACACGGTTCCCCCCCCCAGATGGGGTCGGAGCACATCTCGCCATGGGGGAAACGGGTCCTGAGGAAAACGGGTCCCGAGGTGTGTGTGTGTGTGTGTGTGCCGTTCTCGGGCTCTCGGGGCCCTCCACGGGCCCAGGGACTGACAGAAAACGATTCAGCATGAACAAATATCAGGAGGGAAAGAAACCGACTCCCAGGATAATAGATGGGAAAATATGGGAAGCGGGGGGGAAGACGAAAACCCAGGAAATATAGGAAAATATGGGAGATCCTGGGATCTGTGTCTATTTATGTGTGTGTGTGTGTGTGTCCCAGGGCCCCTTCAAAATGGTCCTGGGGGAAGGCCCAGGGGCCCATGACCCGCTTCCCTCAGGACCCGCTTCTCCCATGCCGAATATTGGATCGGAGCATCTTGCCGCATCGCCGATGCATCGGCTATGCGGCTCGATGTCAGGCCCGGTTTCCTCCACGTCGGCGTCGTCGGCGCATCTCCGACCGCGCCGATACATGGGCGATTCATCGGCGAAACCTCGACTCTGGCGCGCGATGCTCCGACGCCATCTGCTCCACTCCTATCTGGGAGGCCTCTAAGCCTGGGAACACGCGGCTGTTTTTTTTGGATGTAGTTATTTCACGACGCCTCCAGGAGGTCCAGCGCCTCGCCTCCTCCTCCTCCTCCTCCTCCTCCTCCCTCTCCTTCTCCTCTGGAGGTTCGGAGGGCCCCCCAGGAGCCTTCGGAGGCCTCCAGACGCCCAGCGAAGAGCAAGCAAGTAGCTGCCTTGATCCTCGAACCTCGAGCCTCGATCATCCTCTCCCCTCGCGGATAACGTTAAGGTGGGATAGGCTCAGAAGGGATGCGTCGACCCTCATTCGCCCATTGATCGCCGATAGGGGCCGGATAGCCCACCTCGACCAGAAACGTGCGGATTCGCCAACAGGAGGGCCGATTGCCGCATCGCAGATTCCAGGTCGACGTATCCCCCCCTTGAGCCTGTCACACATGTTTTCGGAGGGCCCCAGGGGCCTTCGAAGGCCTCCAGCTGCCCAGGAACGGATCGGGGCCAGGAACAAGTCCACTAGACTATGTTGTGTTTCCCCACCACTGGGTGGCAAATGGCGGCCAAAACACAGTGCATAGATTTGTTTCAACGCCTCTCGCCTGGAGAATCAGCCGGAAATTTTCACACTACGTTGGCATGTGTCGAATGGGGCTATTGCGAGGATCAATCCGTTCCAGAGCGTTCCGCAACGCTCTTAAAGCGTTCCGGAAATCTCCCAGAAGGCCGCGGCATCCGAGTCATTTTCCAGAGCCGTTGGATCTCAGAGGTTCTCGGTTGATCCTTTGCCGTTTCTATCCTCGTCCTGGCTTGATCTGAATGTGGCGTTTCTGCGAAGCCCAATGGGGCATATATTTAGGTGTGTATGCGCGCGGTTCCAGGAAGAGCATACCACTGAAGAGCCCTGGGCCCCGAGCACCCTCCCTGGGCCCCTGGGCCCCGCGGTTCCTCGAACCCTGAGCCCCGAACACCCTCCCTCGAGGGCAGCACTACATACGTCGGGATAGGTTCAGGGGGGATTCTCCTCCTCCTCCTCCTGCTCCCTCCTCCTCCTCCTCCAGTTCCTTCCCTCCTCCTCCTTCCTCTTCCTCCTCCTCCTCCTCCTCCTCCTCCTCCTCCAATCGTCCATTCATCGCCGATAATGGGGCCGATAGCCAACCCCTCCCAGGGACTGTCGGGTTCGCTATCGGGTGCTTGTCTCTGGTCCATCGGCGATCTGTCGCCGATTCTAGCTCGACGTATCCCCCCCTTGAGCCTGTCCCCCGCTTGTGTTGCCCCTCGCACAGGTTTTCGGAGTTCCCAAGGGGCCTTCGGAGGCCTCCAGATGCCCAGGCAAGCGGCACAAGCAAGCAACACGCCTAGATCATCGAACCTCGAGCCTCAATCATCGAGGTCTCCACGCTCCTGGGAACGGAGCATAACCAAGGAATAACTTCGATCCTCGGACCTCGAGCCTCGATTCTTGGCTCACTTCCCTAGGAGATGGACCACAAGTCCCTGCTGTGGGTGCTGCCGCTGCACTCTACGCTGCCGAAGGCCATCCCTGCTGCTTCCGCGGCCGTGATCGTGCGCCGCGTGGCAGCTCTTGGGGGGGAGGACGAGGAAGAGGGAGAATCGACATGCTTCTATTCGAGGAATCGCAAATCTGAATTAAAGGCGCGTGGATTGGCGGCGACTCCCGTTCTCATGCAGAATCGGCGCGCTTTGTCGCAAAATCGGGCAGCATTGACCTCATGTTTCGGGTGGCACCTTCCCAGATCCATGGATCTGGTGCCCCCGATTTACGGCAGACGCGAGGGGGAGGAGGAGGGAGGCCGAGGAAGAATCAGTGGGATTGAGCTAAGTCTCGGCATCCTGGCCGGCCAAGTTTAGCGGATGTAAGCACGGCGTTGGTGTGCGAGGAGGAGGAGGAGGGGAAGAAGGGCAGAAGAGGAGGATCGAGGTTCGAGGATCGACGATCTTGTTCAGGGCCTGGGGGAGGCCTCTCGTCGCCAGCGCTGCATCCGTCTCACAGTCCAGGCCAGAACAAATCCTTGAACCTGTACGGTGGTCGACTTGCGAGGACGAGGGAGGATTTGGGAAGGAGGAAGCTGTAGGCTCCAAGCAAGGATCGAATCCTGGAGCATTCTGGTGAGTCTGGATGCCTTCTAATGCCTCGGGATCGGACATGTGTTGTTGTCAACATGTGCGGGGGAGCCTCCCCGCAGTGGCCCCGTCGCCGCGACGCAGCTGGAGCCGTGCGCTGCGAGACAGGGCCCAGGCGTCGGCCCCGCGGGAGGGCAGGAGGGCGGGAGGTCGACCGGGATCCGCGCGAGCCCAGGCTCTCCTCCTCCTCCTCCGCCTCCTCCTCCTCCGCCTCCTCCTCCTCCTCCGCAGGGCGCCCCGCGGGCGGCAGCACACCCGCGACGCGGGGCCCGTCGGGAGGGCCGGCGTCTTCGCCGGGACGCGCGCCCGGTGGTCTCTGGTGGGACCACGGGGCTCACGGCGCCAGCCTCGCAGAGCGGAGTTCGTTCGGAGAACGCTGGGATTTGCCTGGCTTGGCCTGGAGAATTTCGCTCCGGAGTTCGATGTGGATTTTGCGCGGGTTTTGTCTCAGGCCAGGAGTGAAGACTACAAGCAAACACATGAAATTCACTTGGTTTTTTGCTCGCCATTTCGGGATTTTGCATTGACAGATCCACGCAAAAATCCGCTGCAGCACGTCTGCAAGGTCGGTGCAGTGACGGGATGGGGCGCCAAGCGGGCGTGGTGACCGCACCGCGTGGTGAGTCGGTGGGGATTCGGGGTCACCGCAGGTTTTTGGGGCTCGGGTCGTTCCCCGAGGACGTCTCGGACGACTGAGGCCTCTGTGGTCTCAAGCCAGTGCGGTGACGGGACGACTGCGTGGGGCGTCCGAGGTTACCACGCGGTCCGTCACCGCAGGTTTTTTTTCTGGGCTGCATAAGCAAGGGGTTGGGACTGGAACCGGGTCGGGCTGGTGCGAAATCTGTGGCATGCAGCCGGTTTCGGCCCCGCCTGGCGCTGTTCCACACAATCGTCGCGGGAGGCGCGTGAGCTCCTTCGCTCTCCCCCCTTTTTGCTGCCCCTCCCCCTTCGCGTCCGACCCGCTGGTCTCGGGGGGTCGCCGCCCGGGAGGGGCGGCTTGTCTGTGAGGCCGTCAGGCGGCTCGAGGCGGATCTCCCGGGCGATCTCCAGCGACGCCCCCCTCCCAGACACCCGGCGCTCCGATTCTTTCGAAGCGTGGGCCCCCTGAGTCGGCACGGTCGAAATGGGGATGGGACGAGCTGGTGCGAAGGCGGGCAGCAGCTCGTGTCCGTCGTGAGCAGGGCTCGCTGTCGATGCCGCCGCGGAGCGTGCCCACCTGAGACACCGGGTCGCTTTTGCCCAGCGGCGACCGCCGTCGGAGTTGACCAGCACCTGCCGTTGGGCATCGTACCCAGCTTGCCCGCAAGTGCCCACCGCGGCCGTCCCAAGCCGAGGCCCCGCTCTCTGCCGTCCCGAGCCGCTTCTGCGGACGGCCCTGGGGCCCGAGGCTGGCCTTCCGAGGCCAGGCATGGCGGCAGGCTGGGCCGCCTCGACTCCGTGCGGGGTGCCGGGTGCCTGGGCCCGGCGATCTCCCACGAGGGCTTGCCGGCGAGCCATGGAGCGGCGCGCACGCGCCCCTGGCGAGGGATGGCACGGCGACTGGCGGCCAGGGGGCCAGCCCCTGCTGGGGTGGGGCCCGGAGGCGCGTCGGGCCCTGCCTCGTCGACGTCGTCGTTGTCCTCGCCGTCGTCCTCGCCGTGGTCAGGATGTCGGCACCCCCATAGCGACGGGGGGAGTCGGGCGACTCTACAAATCTTGCCGCCGCTTCCTCCGACTGTTTGAGCTTCTCACTCCGCGGGCCCCTCTTCTTCGTCCCGTGACCTCCATTGTCCTGCCCAGAATTCAAGACGGAGTCTTGCTCGGCATCTTCGGTGTCTGGCGTTTTTTGGGGCCGCGGGATTGTCAAACAGTTTGCTCAGGGTGAGAGGTTGTTCCCCAGAAAGGGGGGGTGAGAGCTCCAGTGGGTCGCGCACTGAGAGAGGAGCAGAGCATCGCAGGTTCCTATCCTCGTCCTCCTCGGGCGGTCGGCTGACTGACAATGTGTGGCATGGCACGGTTCTAGCGGATGGGGGGCGAAGGAGAGCAACGGGTGGCAGCGGACACGGAGCTATCCCTTCCTCGTCTGCATCCCCGAGGAAGGAGTCGGAGGGATGAGAAGCGACACCACCAGTGGACCTGCTCCAGCGAAGAGGTTCACGATGCCTCCCCGAGCTGGAGTTCGGACATGTCTCGAGCGGGTTCCTTTTGGGGGCCGCCCAGGGGAGCTTCCTCGCCGCGGCCAGGTTCACTCCTTGATCCCAGTCAGACTGCGTTCCAAGACAGGCCCAGGAGTCGATTTTCAGGGTGCAGATCGGATCCCAGACTTCCGCAGAGGGCAGCCGTTCACCATCACCACCACCACCGTCCGTGGGCCTCCCGGCCTCCACACGGGAGTCCTGCGACGACATTTTTCTTGGGACTGCAGGGTGGCCCCTTGCCAAGGGCTTGGCGTCGCTCGGACGTGTGCATTTTTTCCCGGAGAGGGCCACCGAAGAGCATCTTGGCTCATCTTGCGAACAAGCATGCACGCACGACATCGAAGAGTGCACGCGGAATGGACGTCCGAGCGATGGCCAGAGGGGCGGTGGGGTGCACAGGGGCCCGCCGCCCTCCTGCGGGCCCAGGCGCCCTCGCCGCGCTGGAGGCGTGCAGGGAGGGCGCGCTCTGGGAGCGGGCGCTGGCGCTGGTCGGCCGCGTGCACCTCCCGGGCCTCGCGGCGCGGGACGTGGCCGCCTGCTACAACGCCGCCCTCGCGGCGTGCGCGGGCGCGGCGGCCTGGCGGCCCGCCCTCGCGCTGCTGCAGCGGCTGCTGTGCCGCCCGGGCGGCGCCGAGGCGCGCAGCAGCGAGTACACCTCCGCCGTTGGCGCCTGCGCCCGCCGCGCGGCCTGGGCGCACGCCCTGGCGCTGCTGGAGCTGGCGCGGCGCCGGCGCGCGGCGCTGGAGGCGGCGGCGTACAATGCCGCGGTCACGGCCTGCGTGAGGGTGGCCCTCTGGCCGGGAGCGCTGGCGCTGCTGCGGGAGGGCGCCGGCGTCGCGGGCCACAACGCCGCCGTCAGCGCGTGCCGGGAGGCGTCGCAGTGGGAGCGGGCGGTGCAGATCGTGTGCGAGATGCAGGCCGGCCGGGCGGGGTGAGGCGGCTTCCAGGAGGGTATGGTTGTGTGCGCCGTGCCTCAGTTGGGAGGGCGTGCGGTCAAGATTGTGATCTCAGGGTCATCTGGGGCTCAGGAGGGACTCCAGCTGTCGGGGCGGATCTGAGAGCCGGGCTCCAGGTGTGGGAAGTTTGTTTGTGGCCGAGGATCGCCGTGGCCAGTACCGCCCGTTCTTTCCATATTCTATGATCCTTGTCGAGGGTTCACAGGCCCCTTCCCCCAGATGGGATGGGTCCCGGGGTTCACAGGCCCCCCCCAGATGGGATGGATAGGGGAAACGCCGACGCCGACGCCGTCGCCGACGCCGACGTCGACGCCGACGCCGACGCAGCCGCCGCCGATGACGACGACGCCGACGCCGCCGACGCCGACGCCGACCTTCGCCCACGCCCACGCCGACGCCGAGGCCGAGGCCGACGCCGAGGCCGAGGCCGACGTCGACGCCGACGCCGCCACCTCCGCCGCCGCCGCCGACGACGACGACTACGGGGAATGACGACGACGGCGACGACGACGACGAACAACCCTACACTCACAGGGGGAGGCGGGGGGTGCACCGGCAACCTCCACCACGCCACGCCCACAAAGGATTTGACCACAGGGGGTTTGGGGACTAGGCCTTCGCGAGGCTCACGGGCTTACCCATCCAGCGGGGGGGGAGGGGGGTTCGATCCCATATGCATTGGGGGGGAGGGGGGGCAACCCTGGATTAGATACACATATAATACGCACCTTCAGATTTCTGATTGGCCTGGTCTAAGCCAGCTCGTGCGAGACTCGAGGGAGAAAGATGCTGTCGACTTGTTTCGCCACGTGATTTTTTTGTTTTTTGTTCTATCTATCTCTCTCTCTCCCTTTTGAGGCTGCCGCCAGATCCGATGCTCTGTACTCTAGCCTCCGGGTATGGCCCCGTAGTGGCCCCGCTAGCTCTGTGATATATATATATATATATATATATATAGATATAAGTATGTTTGTATACACTTATATACATAGTTTTCCGTATGGTAGCACGATGACACCCGAGCTGGCTAGGCTGCGACTCCAACCCGTGGTGGCCGTCGCGTCGCGGCGACGGGGGGGGGCACAGAGGTTGGAGTTCGTCGAGCTCTGATGTGGCGGAAAGGTGCTTGCATCCTCATCGCGCGTCTTTGCGATCAGTATGGACTGTAGGCTCAGTTGGGGGATGCAGCGGCCCCCACTCGTCCACTCGTCGCCGATCAGCGTCCGGTGATCAATGAGATAGCCCCGATGTAGCGTCTATTAGCGTCGATTTAGCGTCGGCTGGCGTCGACGATCGTTGATTCGCAAGAGCCAATAAAAAGGTATGACGCAAGGCCCCCATGAATTGCCACCGAAGTTGTCGTCCCCTCCATATGCCCCCCCCCCTCGAGAGCACGGCGGCGGTGACGTCCGCTCTCGCCTGGCCTCCCAGGCTGGGGGCCTCGGCGCCGACGTGGTGAGCCACAGCGCGGTGATCGCGGCGCTGCACCGCGGCGCCCATTGGGAGCGCGCCCTGCTGCAGCTGGCGGCGATGGACCTTGGGGCGTGCACAGCATGCAGCCGTGCGGTGAAGTATATATGCTCGCGTGACTCGGCTTACTCCATCGGGGACTCTGATGCCTTCTGGCCTTTTGGGGGTCCTCCTGGGGCTGCCGCAGCCCTCGTCGCCATGGCCGGATTCGCCCAGCACCGGAGCACCCGTCCCGCGGGAGGGGGTCGGGAGCTCCGGGGCCCACGTCACGACGAGCCCACGACGTCGGATGGCTGGGTCTCCCGTCTCACCCGCCTCGCGCTCCTTCCTCATGCTTCTTCTCGTTCGGCTCCTCCTCCTCCACCTCGTCTCCCTCCGCCGCCACTCCTCTCCGCCCATTCAATTCCCCTCTCTCATCTCCCTCGTATCTCCTTCTGTTTCTCTCTCGCTCGCTCTCCTTCGCCCCTCCCTATCTCCCTCCCATCCTCTTTTCATCTCCCCTCCTTGCTTGTCCGCAGGAGCCCCACGCAGACGGCCGAAAGAGGCCCCCACGAGATCCCCAGGGCGGGCCCTGCAACCCAGACCCCGTTGTGACAGCGGTGTCCCAATACCGCAGCGCCGGACGATCTGCTCTTGCTCCAGGCCCGCGGCCCCCAGATGCCGACCTCGGGCCCACGTTCTGTTGCCATCGCAGCGGAGCCCAGCGGCAAGAGGAGGGAACGACAGACGACGACGACGACGACGACGACGACGACGACGACGACGACGACGACGACGACGACGACGACGACGACGACGACGACGGCGACGGCGGCGGCGGCGGCGGCGGCGGCGGCGGCGGCGGCGACGACGAGGGAGAGGAATGAAAGGAAGGGCGAGAGGGCAAGCGCCCGCGCCCGCAGCGGAGCCCAGCGGGAAGACGAGGGAACGACAGACGACGACGGCGACGGCGGCGGCGACGACGAGGGAGAGGAGGGAGAGGGAAGGGCGATGGGGGCGAGCGCCCGCGCCCGCACGGCCCCGCGGGGGGCTCCGCCTGGCAGGCCGGGGCGCGCAGTCTCGACCGGTCCCGGAGAGCGGCACGCCAGGCCGCCCCGGTGCCTCCCGCGCGCGGCAGCTGCAGCAGCAGCAGCGGCGGCAGCAGCAGCAGCAGCAGCAGGTGGACCGAGCACACACACCCGCTCTGTCGGTCGGTGTCGTTTAACCGATACCCATCCCCATCCCCTTCGAGACCCCCACCGAATTACCCCCCTCGTTGGGGATACACCCCTCGAGACCCGAAGGGAGCGGCCTCTGTCCCCATCCAGGGGGGCAAATCGGCCAGTGGGGCCCAGGCCACGCCGCTGGGGATGGGGATCGGATAACTGATGCTCAGTCAGGGATCTGGGCCCGAGCCTCCCAGGAGCAGCGCGGCGCCGTCCCCGGGCTCCGCCCCCTTTCCCCCCCCAGGAGCAGAGCGGCCTGGCGCCGAACGCCGTCAGCCTGTGCTCGGCGCTGAGCGCCTGCCGGAGGGGCGCGCGGTGGGCAGTGGCGCTGCAGGCCTCGGGTGCTCCTCCCGGTTTTTGTTGGGCGCGGGCCGCGCTCAGCGGGGGGGACGCTCCCAGGCTTGGCTGCGAGGTGGTGCGGACTATTTCCACGCCTCGCAGCTTTGGCCTCGCGTAATGGGGGGCGATCTGTGGGTGGGGGGGGGGGGCAGCGAGGGCTGCAGACAGGGGCCCACTAGGGCCCCTGAAGGGGCTCCTCAGGCCTGGCCAGGGCTGGTGGTGGTGTATTGTTTGGAGCTCTCCTGCCCCTGGGGGGCGGTGGATCCGAAGATGCTTTGGTCCCTGGGTGCCCAACATGATATCCGTAGCCACCGCCTGCCGAGGTCCCCGACACTCGATCCCCCAGGCGCTGGTTGTGGATAGCCCCCGCTTCGGATCCTCTCTGCCTGGGACCTCATCTCAAGCAGTGGCGAAGCGTTTTTGCTCGAGTATAGTCCCACCAAAGAATGCTCTAAGGACCTTCTGTGGATTGCACGAAATGTTTTTAGAACATTTAGTTGATGGGACAGTCTTGTTTTAATACATCGGTTTTGTTCTAAGAACATGGCTTTTCTTGTCGGAATGCTGGGACGGTCGGTCCCTGCTCACCCTCGAGGCCCCATCGCAGGACAGTGTTGATCGTCGCGGCGGGTTGTTTGTCCCGGGGGTACACCTGGGGCCTCTGGCCCAAGGGGGAAGCACCGACCCCCAATCGCCAGTCGCCCATTCCCCGCCCTGCCTCTCCACCCCGCCCTCCTTCATGGGAACTCGCGTGTCCGCAACCAGGGTCGCCGATCTGCCGGCAACGCATCCATATCGCCGCCGGCTCCAGGTCGATGTTCCCCCCCCCCCCCCGTGAGCTGGTCCCCCCCTGTCGCTCCCCCTCCAGACGTGCCCCCCCCCCCACCCCACCCTCTGGACTCGACTTGTCGACCCCGTCCTCAGGCCTGGCGTTTCTTGCCTCGGGCGGTTTCCTGGCGGGGCCCGAGGGGCCCTGGAGCGCGCGCCCACAGGCCCAGAGGCCGAGGAGAAGTACTCGTGTCGCTTTTTGTTGATCACAACGTCGTGTCTCCCTCGATGCCCGCCAGGTCCTCCGGGCGCTGTGGCGCGGAGGCGCGGCGGAGCTCAACGCCGTGGCGTGCACGCAGGCGTTCTTGCTCTACGAGGATCGGCGGCGTCGAAGAGGCGGGGGTGAGTCGTGAGGGTGACGTGGGGCGGGGTCGGACGAAGAGGGGGCAGGGGCGCCCGCGAGTCAGCTGACGTATTTATCTGGTGTGGTCGGCGCGAAATGGCGCAAGAGGCGCCGGTGTATCGAGGAGAGCGCCCGGCGGCGGGGTCGAGACCAGCTGCAGGCAGCAGGTGCGACCTCCGGGTGATAAGTCATACCCTTCCCCCCTGACAGCTTTTCATCCCCAGCCAATGCAAATTCGGCCGGGGGAGAGGAGCGGCAAGGCCGATGTGTTTTAATCGCGGGGGGGGAATTGCACATCGAAGTCGAGATCTTGTTATGTTGATTAGCATCTGCATTTAACAGAAACTCGTATGCCAGGCTTGCACACAATCCTTGCCCTGCAAGGACGGCACCAAGGGGTGACGCGCCTGCATGGGCGAGTTGTTCGAGATGGTTTGCAAAATAGGTTTCCTGGCGAGGAGCGCCAAGGACCTCCAGAGTGCAGGCAAGCTGTAGGTCCGAGCTCTCGAGGGGCGTCAAGGACCATCAGTGCGAAGATCCCGAGGAACGCCAGGGATCATTAGCATCATCGTCATCATCAGCATCATCATCATCATCATCACCATCATCAGCAGCATCATCATCATCATCGCCACCATTACCATCATCCTCCGATGTGCCGGGAAGGTGTTTCTAATCCCGTTGCACCCCGAATTTTATGATCCCCAGGGTTTTAATATCAGGGGCACTTGGTTAGGGGCGCGCTAATTCTACTTTCGCTGCGCGTGACCACCTCCTATCTGCTCGAGCGAGCACTCCGCCCACCCGCCCGTAGTCTTGGCGACATGCAAGCGGGGCGCGGCAGTTTGCTCGCGAATCGCAAGGGGCACGCTGACGCGCGGAACCTTCTCATGCATATCCATGACTCGGGCGGGCGAGTGGGGATCGGAGGGATGCATGTACACCATGTGGCCAGGCCCACGTGGTCTCCGAGATGCCATGGCATTTGTTTAAGCACGTTCCCTGCCCCCGCACCCCCTCCCCCTTTGTCCGCGCACATGCTTCGGGCCATGACGATGCGCCAGCCCCCTCTTCCCTGCCCGCGGCGCACCGCTTTGCCCAAATCCGCGCATCATCGGTTCCCGGACCCCTCCCAGGGTCATCCTTACCCGTCTGTCGCCGAAAGTTTTATGACCCCCAACTCCCAACCCACGTTAACCGCCCATTTACTTCAAGTCTCGAGCTGTTTTTCCTTCTCCCTCCTCTTCGGGGGGCGGGCGGGAGCCCATTTGGCTTCAACACCTTCCCATTTCATGTTTCGACCCACTTCTCCCGACCGGCCCGACTCCCCAGGCGCACCCCGCAGTTGCAGCAACCCCAGAGAGCATGAGAAACGCCATGGAGGGCCGCCGTCGTTCTTGAGCAAGCGCCCCTTTCCCTGGCCCCCCCCTTCAGCACAGATGATTCGAGAGGTCAATGGGGGGGGATAGATGGGGGGAGGGTATGCTCGGAGGGGAATGGTTGTGCCCGCTGGCTGCCGCCTGCCCGTTGCTGTCCTTGCCGCTGGCCGGGCTGTGGCCGCTTGCTCGCGCTCCTCGCTCGCGTGCTCTCGGGGTGCGGTCCGCTGCGGCCGCGGCGGTCGGGCGCTTCGGCGGGTGGAGGAGCGCTCGTGGGGCCCGCCCCACCGAGGACTGAGTCGGTGTGCTATCGTGGACCTATCGCCGATCCATCGGCGATGTACTGCCGATCTCACGTTACGTTCCCAGAGCCGACCACCCTCCTCTCTCTTTCCTCATCAGAACGTTTCCCTTTCTGTGCCGCCTCCCGCACATCATCCCGCTTTCGCCGCTGGCTCGGTCGGATTCCGGGGCTGCTCTTTCTCATCCGCGTCGCCGCCAGGCTTCAACCTTGTATATGCGCCGTGCAAATCCCCTTTTCGGGAGGCGTCGTTGGAGGCCTCATGGCCAAAGTGGCCGGCTTGACCACAGATGGGTACGCATGCGCACACGACGCCACGGTGCGCTCTCCAAGGGAAGAGTCCCCCCCTTCATGGAGGAGCTGGGGCTGCGGTCTCGCGCCGCTGCGCTGGTGCGCCGCATCGCCGCCGTGGCGGGGAGCCCAGACGTCGTGAGCCACACCGCGGCCATCCGCGCCTGCGGCGGCAGGACCGCCGCGGGGGGAGTCTGCGTGCCACCGGGCCAAGCCGGGCCCCGGCGTGCATCCCGTGCCCTTCGAAGTTTGACGTTTTTGCGCGGATTCCGTTGGCTCTCGGCGTTTCTCCAGTCGCAAGATGCCTCTCGGCGGCGGTGCTTCCTGGGGGGCCCGGATCGTCCCGAAGGGCCGCCGGAGCGCCGAGTGATGACGCGCATCCCGTCGACGCCGAGGTATCGGAGTCGGGGGTCCCAAAACGGTGCGGTGACCACACCGTGTGGCGAGTCTGGAAATCCAGGGTGAACTCACGGGTCTGATTCTCGGATGTCTCGGGTGCTTGCGGGCTGCATGGTCCCAAGACAGTGCGGCGACAACGGACCGTGCGGTTAGGTCGTTGGGGATTCCAAGGTCTCCGTCGTTTCTGACACCGCACCGTTTTGGGATCTGTACGAGCTGTCCTTCAACCGTGCCTTGTCGAATCGTGAGGCATAGATCGACGGAAAACAAATTTTCGTCAAAACATGCAGTGCTAGGCCGCCTGTCGGGATCCGCGTGCCAGGGAAAGGGGCCCAGCGCCGATCCACGAACTCTGCGCGGAACTCCGAACGTTTATGGACTGCAGAATGTGTTCTCTCTAATGGACCCCCGTCTCATCGGCCAAGAGGGCCTACAGACCCCATACCTTGGCTGGGGATGCCGCTGGCCAGGCGTGGTGGCTGTGGTGTGCAGATGCCCTCTGCCCAGGACCGACCCTGCGGCCGATCGAGCCTTCCGGGCAGGCGCCCGGAGAGGAGGGGGCGCGCAAGGCCCAGAGATCCGAGGCAGGTCCCAGCTGTTTTGGGTACTCCAGATTTCGTAATAAAGGGAGGGGGGTCTCATTTCGGGTGGGGTCTCTTCCAGGCTATCTTGGAGGGCCTGGGGGGGTCTGGGGACGATGTTTTGGAGGGTTCCCCCACGGGGGAGGTCTGAAATGGCTTGTCTTGGAGGGTCCAGGCCCCCTCCCTTTTGTTACGAAATCTGGAGTAGTTGTGATGTGTCGTGGGCTTCCCGTGGGTCCTGTTGGCAGCCCGGACGCAGCCAGGTTCCCAGCGGAGCGGCGTGCTTCGGCCCGCGGGCCCCGGAGGCCTCGCCCTTGGGCGTCGGGATCTGGCCAGCCCCGATCGATTCTGTCGACGGTCCTGGAGCCAGAAGACCGAGGCCGGAAGCTGGGAAAGCCGTCGGGACGGAAGCAATCGATCCGCCCGAAGTCCGGTGGGTGGGTACGGAAGGAATGCAGGCGCAGGCAGTGGGACAGCAGTTTCTGTCCTTTGTGGACAGGGCTCGTTGTCTCCGTCGCCGCGTGCGCTGTCCAGCTGAGGCGGAAGGTCGCCTGCCCGGCAGCCGCCGCCGTTAGTTTAGGACAACATCCGTCCTTGGACATTCGTACCCCGTTCCTCCGTATTCCCATTTTGGGAGTGCCAAAGGAGGCAGGATGGAATTCCGTCCCCAGAGGCCACGTCCTTGCCGTTGGGATTTGCGGCCGTCCCCGATCGGTCTTGATGGCCCCGGAGCCAGGAAGAGGAGGTCCCAAATGGGGAAATCCGCTCGGAGGTCCTCTCGAATTCCAGGGTTGGGAGGATAGATCGAACCCACTCTGGAGTTATGTTGCTCCCATCGTACTTAAGGACCACATCCCAAAAAGAAATTCGAGCACCCGGAAAAGTGTCGAAAGAGTGTGGAAACAGTGTCGAAGCAGTGTCGGACGAGTGTCTCCCAGGGCCCGACACGTGAAAACCATCGAGTTTCGGTATTTTTTCTGGTGCTCCAAATTCTTTCTGGTGATGAACGGCTAAAGTAGGTTGGAACATCATAAGTCTGGAGATGTTGTCGCACGCCCTCCTTGCGGCCGGTTTTTCGCGCGCCCTCCTTGGGTCTTGGGCCTGGGATCGGCCGGGCGTGTGCCCACGCGTTCCGTCGCTTGAGACGGGGACCCATTTGGACCTCCCGACCTGGATCCGGCTTGTGGTCTGAGGTGACCGAGCACTGGCTCCAGCCAGCAGGAAGGGCTGGGCGGGGTTCGAGGTTCGAGGTTTCTGGGTTCGCGAGCGTGTTGTTGCCTTCCTGAGCCTCCAGGGGTCGTTGGCGGCCCCAGGACCACCAAGAACGGATCCGGAGAGAAAACCTGCACCAGATGGATCCCACGAGGGGTCGGGGGACAGATTTTGAGCGGATGTGGTTTCGCCCCCATTCTTGACAGATTCTTAACAGGATCATGTCTACCACATTCTGGTATGTCTGCCCACCGCTTAGTGACAAATGGCTGCCCAAGCGCAGTGCACATTTTTTGTCAACACCTGTCGCCTGGAGAACCGGCTGGATCATCATACGCGACCCCCAGAGACCGAAGATTGCGAAAAGATGCCCAAGCAAGCAATCAGACAAGGTTCCGTACGAGCACGAAGTCGGGTCTAATGTCTGATACCGGACGCGGAGTGAAGCAAGCACACGAGTTTCACACGAATGATCTCTGCTGCTGATGCATTCACGGCCAGACGTCGGAAAGCTGTCCGTGGCGAAGCGTCCTACCTCGCTAACAGGCCCACCACAGGAATGCTCGAAGAACCTCTTTGTGGTTTGAGCGAGATGTTCTTAGAGCGTTTCTGGTTCAGCCAGTCTCGTTTTAATACATCGGCTCAATGTTCTAAGAGCATTCTAGGGTATTCTAGACGCTTCGCGCAACCCCACCAGCCGATCCAGAAACGATGCCAAGGCGAGTTGTCCAGAGCAGGCAGCCGTCATACCCCAAGAGAGAGGTCATGAGGAGGAGGAGAAGGAGGAGGGGAGGAGGAGGGGAAGGGGGAGGAGGGAGAAAGGACGAGGGAGGAGGAGGATGTCGCGGATGATGATAATGATGCTAATAATACTACTAGTAATGATGATGATGATGATGATGATGATGATGATGCTGATGCTGATGATGATGATGATGATGATGGTGATGGTGATGGTGATGGTGATGGTGATGGTGATGGTGATGGTGATGGTGATGGTGATGGTGATGGTGATGGTGATGGTGTTAGTGATGGTGGTGATGATGGTGATGATGATGTTGATGATGATGAGGTTGATGATGATGATGTTTGATGGTGATGGTTGAGGATGAGGATGATGATGAGGATGATGATGATGATGTTGATGCTGCTTCTGATGCTTATGCTGATGCTGATGCTGATGGGGGTGCTAATGGTGATGGTGGTGGTGGTGACTGTGATGGTGGTGGTGGTGGTGCTGCTGATGTTGATGGTCATTCTGATACTGATGATGTTGATGATGGTGCTGGTGCTGCTGATGACGCTGATGATAATGCTGATGCTGATGCTGCTGCTGCTGCTGATGAGGATGATGATGATGACGATGATGATGATGATGCTGTTAATGATGATGACGATGATGATGATGGTGGTGGTGGTGGTGATGATGATGATGATGCTGCTGCTGATGATGATGATGATGCTGATGATGATGATGATGATGATGATGATGATGATGATGGTGATGATGATGATGGTGGTCGTGGGGAGGAGGAGGCGGAGGAGGAGGAGGAGGAGCAGGAGGAGGAGGATGAGGAGGAGAGGAGGAGGTGGAGGCGGAGGAGGAGGAGGAGGAGGAGCAGGAGGAGGAGAGGAGGAGGAGGAGGAGGAGGAGGAGGAGGAGGAGGAGGAGGACGTGGGAGCGGAGGAGGAGGAGGAGGAGGAGGAGGAGGAGGAGGAAGAGGAGGAGGACGAGGAGGAGGAACGGGAGGAGGAGTGGAGGAAGATGAGGGCGAGCAGAACGACCAGAGGACTCTTGGATGCCTCTCGGAGTCTCTTCGGATGTCTTTCGAGAGTCCTCTTGGGGCGTCTTGGGGGTCTCATAGCAGTCCCAGGGGCCTCTTGTGGCATCTTGGGTGCCTCTGTTGGGCCTCTTGGGGCCTCTTGTGGGCTTGGGAGCCTATTGGGGGCCTCTTGGGGGGTTCCTGGGATCCTATTGGGTTTGGGGCACCCTTGGGAGCCTCGGGGGCCATCTTCGGGCCATCTTGGAGGAGACCGATCAAAGGAGGGGCCGTGCTTAGTAACTTAGCGTCGCCCCCCCCAGGAGGCCAACATGTGGCTAAAGCTTGAATGCAATCAGTGATTTGGGCCTTCTCGCCGAGGCCACTCGTTGACGCTCCAACTACCCGCGAGACGCCCCGTCCAAGTCCACGGAAGCTTACGGGGAGGGGAAGGGGGAGGCCTCCCCCCCCCCCCCGAAGGGGAAAACGGGTGATGGAAGAGAAAATGTCCTAAACCACTCACGCCCTAAAGGGCAGGTGGGATCATAGCATCTTTAGTTGTAAAGCCATGTCGTGGTATGCCTATAGATTATAGGAATGCCGTGACGGTTGGCCCTGGCTCAAGAGAGGAGACTTTCGGAGACGCCCTCGAGAGAGTGAGGCGAGGAGCCCTCCTGGGTCTCTTTGGGGGCCTCCCTGGATTCCTGCCCCCTCGCCCGCGCCAGGTGCTCACTCGCGGCTCCCCCTCCCCATGTCCCCTTTCCTCTGCTCCTCCTCCTCCCCCTCCTCCCTCCCTCCCTCCCGCCCGCCCGCCCGCCCGCCCGCCCTCCCTCCCTCCCTCCCCGCACCAGGCGCCTACGCCCCCGCCGTCGCCAGGCTGCGGTCGCTGAGGCGCCTCGGCCCCGCTGCGCGCGGCCCCTGCAGGCCCGTCGGGGCCCTCGCGGGCCGCGCCGCCGCGCGCGAGGCGGCGCCCGACCTGGGCGCATTCAGCCGCGACGCCAGCGACGCCCTTCGGCTGCGCGCGGGGCGCCGCTGCGCGCGGCTCGGCCGGCGCGGCGCCGCGGCGCGGCGAGGAAAGCCGCCAGCGGCGACGACGACGGCGACGACCGACCGACCGACCGACCGACCGACGGCGCGCGAGACGCGCGGGGGAGAGGACGGTGCTGGGGACGGTGGTTTGTCCTCGCCCTGCCCCTCTGCGTCTCTTCTCGTTTTTATTGTTTGTGCTGTTGTTTGTTTGTCTCTCTCTCTCTCCCTCTCTCTCCCTCTCTCTTATACACACTTCATACATATATATATGTATATACACCTCTCTCTCTTCCTCTTTCTCTTTCTGTCTACCTCTCTGTTTATTGGTATATGTGTTTTGACATTGATATCTCTCTCTCTCTCTCGTTTTCCACTCTCTCTCTCTCGCTGTCGGTTTACCTCTCCTTCTCCCTATATGTATACGTATCACACTTATACATACATAGATGTAGACATGTGTATGTATATATATATGTATATATAGGTATATGTATATGTAGTTGAGCGGGATGATATATGCATTCGTGATATCTGTAATCGTGCGGATCAGACTTCATCTATCGAGTCGGGATGGCGCCCTTTCATGTACTGGGTGGGGGCGGCCTTCGGCGCAGCCGGCGGGGTGGCTCATCTGGGCGCTGCTGGTTACGGGCGGCACTGTACTTGCAGCGTGGACCCGGGCGACGGGCTCGCCACAGACACGGACCTCGGACGTTGTTCGAAGGGCAGCTGCAGGCGTGCGGGCCCGAGTGTTCGGGCCACCCGTCGAGCGTGATCGTCTTGTCCTTGGACCCCGCGTTTTTCGTCAGGGTGGCCTGCGCGGGAGCCCCGGGAGTGTTTCCGTCCTGTCGTCAGGCGCGCCGCTTGCCAGAGCCCACGTATTTTTCGTAGTGGCTCTTTCTTTGGAGACGAAAAGGGGCGCGCGCCGAAATCCATTCCAAAGGACGGCGTTTTTTTTAATATGGTTTCAGTGTGCAGGCGCGCCCTGCCGCGCGGTGGTTTCCCGGCACACCTTAGAGCGTGCTGAACAGCATAATGCGAGACATTCAGTGTGCACGTTGCGCATGCTATCGCGTACCAATCACGCGTGGCTTGAGCTACTTCGCATATGCTTTCTTGCGAGGCCCTTCGAGTGCCCTCTCAGGGCCCGCCGGGGCCGCCGAGTGCCGAAAGCTCCCGGCAGCCATTGTTGACAGTTGGCAAAAACAGCGCCGCCGAAAGAGCCGTCGTAAGGGCCGCCGAAATTGCAAATTGCCGCCGGCATTTCAGCGAAATTCCGGATTGTGCCGCTAAAAGAACGCCGAATGTGACCTCGGCTGTGGTTCTATGCTTATGTCCGCGGCGTCATCGTGCTGAATAAAGCAGTGATTTCGTTTGGGGCAGGGCATTGACAACTTCGGCAGCTGAATTTCGGCGGCTGGATTTCGGCTGCTGAATTTCGGCGGTTGTCTTGACGGAGTTCGCAATTATTTTCTGCGGCAAGTTCGGCGGCAGTTTCGGCGGCGATATCGGCGGCGATGTCGGCGGCGATTTCGGCAACAATTTCGGCGGCGATTTCGGCGGCCCCTTCGGCGGCCCTCGTGGCGGCCCTTTCAAGGACCATTGCGGCGGTTTTGCTTTCGAGTGCTGTCGACGCATGCTTCTGGGAGCTCGCAGCACTCGGCTGTGGCGCACAGTCGATGCGTGGCGACGCAGGCCGACGTGCCCTCAGCGCGATGATGATTGTAACAGTTGTTATCCTGTGGTTTTGGCGGTGATGCTGGCGACGGCCGCGGAGATGTTTGGTTTAAAATGGGCTCTCGTCAGGAGGCTTTGCAGGCCGCCTACGCGCCCGCCGCTGCATGCTTTCAAAGGTGAAGAACTTGCCGCGCACATCCTTCGAAATTCGGCTGCTATTTGGGGGGTCAGGGCGACTCCACTGGGTCTCCCGAGAGGCAGGATGGTCGCGCCAGCCCGCCATGACCAGCGATTGCTCGTCTCGTGCGATCCGGACCTCAGCGGGCCCCTTCCGCGCGAACGGCTGCCGCGCGTTCCTGTCCGAGGGTCTCTCTGGATCGTGGCCACGACGCCCGACCGAGACATTGATATCGAGGACCTGGAGGTGGTTTTCGTCGCGCAGGTGCCGCTGGGGCTGGGGCCGATGGGCGGTCTTCCCCTCTGCTCGTCCAGGAGGCCCGCCAACCTCTTCCGAAGCTCGGATCGGGGGCGCCCAAGCAAGGCCGATATTGCTCGCCAACAAGTGCAGGGGGAGGAAATGGCCGCGGCTCAGCGCAAGGCAAAGCCGCCCCCCGAGGCGATAGTGGCGGGCGGCTGGCTACATGCGTCCGTCGCGGAGGCCAGTGCGCCCCTGGGCGAGGGCGACCAGTTCTTTCTGGAGGCCCGCCTGGAGACCCGCGACGACGCCTGCTCAGCGGGGCGCGTGCCAGCGGCGCTGCTGCAACAGGGCGATCGTCTGATTGATCGCGCAATGGTTTGCACTGGTGGCCAGGCCCATTTGTCCAGGGAAGCAGTTGCTCGCCCCGTCCGCTCGCGACGGTGCCGACGCCGAGCTCGCGGCGGCGCCGACGCCGAGCTCCGCGCCCTCGCGGTCAAGTGCGAGAGTCCTAACAGGAGGCACCGCTCAAACGACGCGGTGGCGTCGGGGGCCTTCGCGAGCATTTTCATCGATTGGCCCGTCAGCGCGCCTAGGGCGGCGGAGTGGACAGCTGAGGAGAACTCTCGTCGAGGGCTCATTCCGCTGCGTCGTGAGCTCTGGCGGCAGCTCTCGCGCCTCGCGTCTAGGCTCTTCCGACGGGCGAGAGTTGAGCGCGCGATGCTTCACTCTTTGCTCGCGGGAATGTCGCCGGCGGCGCGAGCTGCCGGGAAAAGTTTGCCGGGGGCGAATTGGCCCATGCTGGCGGCGGGCCCGATCCTAGCGCGGTCGCCCTGCAAGTTCGTCGTGTTCTTGATCGGCGCCTGCGACGCCGGAGTCGTGGAGCCCGCGACCAAGGCGCGCAGTTTTGCGGGGGGCTTTTTTCGCCCGCGCGAGGGGCTGCTCGCCCGGCGCCAACTTCGACGTCATCTTCGACTTTCGAATGGCGAGTGTGCAACAATTTCAGCCACCCGATCACATGGCTTTTGCTGCGCTGAGGCATTGGGATATCTCAATGCGGCGGCTGGTCAGCAGCTTGCGACATCAGAGGGGTCGCCAAGCGCGGCTACTACACGTTCTTCTGCTCGGCGACATGCGGGCCGACTTTGCAGCGCCCGCCGCGCCGCGGCGATTCTTGCCCCCCAGGTTCCGCCACGTCTCTCCTTCGGCCACCAGGGGCGGTCGCTCCCAGGTGCGGGCGGCTCTGATGAGTTGGACTTGGGCCGCGGCGACGGTCTGAACTTCCTGCGCCAGGCAGTGGCGGTCAGGTCCCTGAGGCGGGCGCCGCTGGAGCTCGACCGCGCCCTGAGCCCCGCTAACACTTCGCGGCGTCGAGCGACCCAGTCGCGCCGGTCTGCGTCGACCGCGTCGCCGCCGTGAGAGTCGACGAGGAGGTTGTCTCCAGGGCGGCCAGGAGATGCTCGCCCATGGCCCGGCGACACGCGACGCGGTCGGCCCGCAGTTGGAGGCGGTCTTCACGGGGCTGCTCGCCCACAGAAGGGCGTCGCCCGCGTCCCGTCGCAACGGTTTCGGCGGTCAGTCTTCGCCCTCGACCGCGTTGCTCGGCGCCTGCTGATGACCAGGGCGGAGCTCGGCCGGCCTGTCGGCCACCTCGCGCGCGCGCTGCCGGCGAGCGGGGGATCTTCAGCCTGGGCGCGTCATGCGTCTTCATCGGCAAGTGATCCAGCTGCCGCGCGCGTCTCTGCCCCTCGGCGCTCGAGGGCCTGGCCTGTGCCCGCTTGCCGCCGCCGCCTGCGCGGGCCGACCGTCGGGGCGCCGGGCCCTCCAGCGTCGCGGCCGTCGGCGCTCTACGAAAGAGCGGCGTCGCCGAGAAGACCGCCCGCGTCGACGAGGTGGGCGCCGTCGGCCGGTTTCGCGAGCGCCAGCGTTGCAAGGGGCAGGGGCTGGTGGCCGGCGGTCGCGCGTTGTTCTTTGCGGGGGGGCGCCACCCCGGAATTTTCCTTCTTCGACGCGCCAGGCAGGCGACCAGGGGGCGGCGGCGTCAAGGCGGCGGCGGCGCGCGCTCACTGTCTGGACGGCGGGGCGCTGCTGCGGGCGCTGGGGAGGCGGGCCCGGCGGGCGGCGCACCGCGGTCGGCTGTTGCTTCTCTTGTCGGGTAGCACGTGTTCCAGCTGCGCTGTCGCAGGGGGTCGAGCCTCCGACGTTCTACCATGGTTACTGTTGTAATTATTTGTTAATGTATGTATTATGTTCTCTCTCTCTCTCTCTCTTTCTCGTTCAATGTGTTGTGTTTTTTTTCTCTCTCTCTCTCTCTCTTTCTCTCTCACTCTCTCTTTATATTTCTCTCTCTCTCTCTATTTCTCTATCCCTCTCTCTCTCTCTCCCTCCCTCCCATTCCTCCCTCTCTCTATATATATATATACCCCTCTCTCGTGTTCTCTCTTTCTTGTGTTTCTTCATGTATGTATGTTGTTTATGTATCTCTCTCTCTCTCTCTTTCCCCCCCTCTTTCTCCCTCTCTCTCTCTATGCATGTCTCTCTCTCTCTCTCTCTCTCTATCTTCCCTTCTCTCTCTGTCTTTTTTCTTTTTTCTCTCCATGTTCTTTCATTCTCTCTCTATCTCTCTCTCTCTCTGTCTTTGTCTCTCTTCTTCCTCTGTCTTTTTGGTGTATATATAGAGGCTTGTTTTTCATTTTTGTTCCCTCTCTCTCTCGCTCTCTCACGGTCGTCGCCTCGTCGCGCCCCCGGCTTGCCTCATCGCGTCGGCTCGCCGCGAGGTGGGCGCCGTCGGAGCGGGGCCCTGCCGACGAGCAACCCCGACCGTTCGAGCCTCCGCCGGCGCGGTGGCACGGGGGCGCGACGGCTGCCGGTGCCGCCCCCGCCGCGCCCCCCGAGCGAGGCCCGGGGCCCCAGGCCGCGCCCCCGATGCGTCGCTCAGCCGAATTGCAGGCCATTATCGCGGGAAGCTCGCGCGGGCGGGCGCTGCCCATGGGGTCGTTTCTCGGGCTCGGCGGCGTCGGCCGCCGGGCCGCCGACGCATGCGGTCGACCTGCGGTCCGATAGCTTTTGGCCGAGTTTCGCTCGACGTGCCACCGTGGGGGTGACAATTTTCTGCCGCCCTGTGCGATGCCCCTCGGCCCGTGGAGGGAGGTCAGGTGACGCTATAAGGGCGAGTTTCCGAGGGCAGGCGTGGGCGGGCGCTTCGGGCGAGGACGGCGAGAGCAGAGCGGGAGCCTTGCGACGGGGGTCAATGCAAACGGGGGTCAGCCAGAGCGCCGGACCTCGCGGGATCCTGCAGAGAACAAGGGTGCAGTGACCCGGGCTTGCGCGCAACATCCTGCAGGATCCCGCAGGATCTTGCAGGACCCTGCATGCCAGGCTGGCCCAGGTAAGCATGGACCATGGACCCTGGTCAGTGCGTCCCCGAGCAGGAGGACTGAAAGGGGGAAGTTTGCGGCGGGCGGTGTGGATGGGGGGGGGGCATCTCCAAACGATCTGGCTGGTTAAATCCAGTTTTTTTTCTTCGAGTTCGCCCCCAGGGGGTCGTGATTAGGTCCCAGGGCAATTGAGGGCGAAAAACTTGCCCCGGGGAAGGGTGCGGGACTTTCGGGGCTGCGGATTGACACAATCCTATTGTCGGATGTTTGGGATCGGGGTTTGTTGTAGTTTTTGTCCTTCCTGCGTGTTGGATGGTCTGGCAACGTCCTGGAACGGATGGGGGGGAGATCGGATATGGGATTGGAGAGGGTGGAGGACCACGCGGCGCGATGGCATTCCCTTCTCCGTCTCTAGCTTCGCCTTCTCATCGTCCTCTTGGCTAGGAGCGGAGGAGCAGAGACCACCTAATCTGGCTACATAGCGTTTTGGCGGGGTGTTGTGAGCAGGTCGCACTTGCCAGAGGCCCTGGCGCTCCCCGACCCCCCTTCCCAGCGCGGCGCTGCGCCGCCAGAACGAGCAGCAGCTGATCTTCCAGCGCCCCGAGAAGGGGAAGACGAAGGCGCGGCGCGGATCGGCCCCCGCGAGACACGTGCAGCGAAGCTGGGGGGAGAAGCGAGGATGACGACATCCGGGAGACCTCCGGGGACCCTGGGGGTCGGAGGAGATGCCGCCGCGTCGCCGGCGGATTCCGAGGTCTGAAACCCAAGTAGTTTCTTCTCGGAGCCACCTGGCGGCGCCGCATCCAGATCTGTAAGCGGAGCGGCGCGATCTGAAGCCAGAGAACTGTCTCATCCAGGCGTCGCTGACGCACCGCCAGTTTGAGCCAATTTGTGGGCCAGCTCCTGGTGCACAATACGCTAATTGCCTTCTGCCAGGAGAGTTGCGAGCATCCAAGGTACGTTCCCGCACGGCGCGTTCCAGAAAAACGGCCTCGCTTTCGGCGCGTTGTTGGTTCCCGGCGGAAGCCGGCGGGAGCCTCCCGTTCGGTACGACCGGAATTGGTACTAAACAAAAACGCAGGCGATTTTTCTCCCCCAGCCCCCGACTTCTCGGCGAAAAATGAAGCTGCTCAGAAAAGGAGGGAAACCCTGGGATACACCCCAAGCAGGCTATTGGGACGCACCCCTCATCGAGGATGGACGCCCCCCCATCGTATATCCAAGGGTTGGGCATACATTTTGAGGTTCATTCGAACAAGATAGGGGTCCTCGTATCCCCTGTCAGACATCAGGTCGTGCCCATTTTGAAAAGGATCGCTGTCGGCGTTGTCACCGAGGCTGTCAGTGCGAGGCGCAAGCGTCGCCTGCCCAACAGGGGCCGCTGTTTGATCTGGACCGCATTCGCTGATGGGACCCGCTTGTTCCAAACGCACTTCGGGCGCGCCAGTAACGGCGGCCTGCTGGCGGAAGGTAGGCAGAAGAAGGCGAGGTGTCATCATTTTTGTATCCACTGGCCAGATTGAGCTGCGAGGTGTGGTTCGGGTGTTGTCAGAGTTAAGTCGGGCCCGTCCCTCTACAGGAGGAATATTCAAAAATAGTCCAAAAGCAGTCTGGGGACTATTTTTTTAGTTTTTTTGTTTGTTTTGCCATTTGAAGTATTTTTTGAGTATGTTTTATTTTTCGTCGAGAATCCCCCTGTAGGGGGACACGCCCGACTTCATGTCAGATGTGCCCTTGGCCCATGGTGCCCCCAGGGTATGCAATGAGGCCCCCACGGCCTCCAGAGCATCCCGCCACGAGGCCCAGCGGGCCCTGGAGGCTCCAGCATGGAGCGCGCCTCCGTGGGCAGCTGGTATTGCTCCTTGGACCTCCGGGAGGCTTCTCGTTGCCACGGCTGGATCCGCCTCGAAGAGCAGGGTCAGGATGGACCTTGGGAGGGGTCCAGGGATACGGTAGGTCCGTGTCGTGTCGACCAGCGGCGACCCGGCCAGCGGCGATCAACGTTGAACGCCGCGGGCGACCCAGAATCGTTCGATGTGGAACGATTTGAACGTTTCGGAAATGGCCGATCGTTCAAGGTTGAACGATCCCCGCGGCTTCAGATACCAACGCCGGGGTCGACACGATGCGAACCTGTCGTACATTTTGAGCGGATTTGGGCTGGGTGTGGGAGTGCCGTTGTCTCGACTGGTCCTCCGAGGGGAGGGAGAGAGCTGAGTGATGGCAGGGGCGCGCAGTAGAGGTGTCATTCTCCATGCGGCCCGCGCGGGAGCGATGGTGGTCAAGCTTCGATCTGCTTGTTTCGTTCAGTGTGAAGTCGGGTGGGCAGGGATGGCATGGCGGAGGAAAGGGGGGCCAAGGGAGAGGTGGAGGGAGGGAAGGAGGCGGGTCGCAAAGAGGAGTGGCAGTAGCTGTAGCTGGCTCAACTCCTGTTGGTTGCTGTTTTTCTCTCTCGCTCTCTCCCCTTTCTCGCCCTCTCTTTCTCCCCCTCTCTCTCTCTGTCTACCTGTCACTCTTGCTTTGTCTCTCCCTCTCTCTCTCTTGCTCCCACTGTTCGCCCTCGTCTCATTCCGTGTCCACCTGCTGGGCATCTCGCCCAGACTTCTCGATCGATGCGTTCGTCGGCAGCGCATGGCCCTCGGTGGCCGGACGGGGGAAGCGCGCGCCCCCGCGCCCCCATCGCCAGGTCATCCTCGGCACGAACATCGCCGAGAGCTCCGTGACCATCGACGACGTGCTCGTGGTGGTGGACTCCGGGCTCATGCGCGAGGTCCGCGCGCGCCTCCCACGCCCTCCCTCGGGAGCCCCGCCCCCGCGCGCCTCTCAAACTCGGCCCTCGACCGCCGCACTCGAGCGCTGCCCCTCTGCTCGCCTCTCTCCCTCCTCTCCTCGACCGTGGGGCCCCGCAGCGGGATTGGCGCGCGCCCGACGGCGAGAGGGCTCGACTCCTCCGTCGTGGACCGCCGATCCGGCCCCTCCTCCTTGCAAAAGTGTGAAGATCAACAAATTCTAAACGCGTTCAACTCAACAGACAAAGTGTACTTATATGCATCTCGTGTATATATATAGAGAGAGAGAATATCGCCTCCCTCTCCTCCTCCTCCCGCCCCGAGTCGGCCCTCTCCCCGCTTCTCCCGCCGCCCCTCCCACCTCCTCCCCTCCCTTCTCCCTCCCCCTCCAGCCGGCGCGCGTGGCCTCACCCGTGGCCCCATGGGCGCGGGGGGGGCCCAGGAGCCAGGGACCTCGTCCGGCATCGGTGCTGCACGGGTCATCCCCCGAGGCGCGAGGGCAGTCGCTCCTCGCGCACCGCGGCTTGGGGTAGGTAGGAGGGGCGCCCTGCTCCGGGGGCGGCGGCGCGAGGGCGCGAAGGCGGCCGCGCGCGTCGCGCAGCGCGGGGCGCGAGGGCGCCAAGTCTGGTGACCCAGGCGCTGAGCTCCTTCCGTGGCCATTGAGGAGGAGGAGGAGGAGGAGGAGGAGGAGGTGGCTCAGGCGGTTTATGGATCGAGGCTCGCGGGCCCATTGTGGCCTCTCGTCCCCTATAGTCGCCTCTGGCGCGCGCGGCGCCTGCGGTGCAGAAGGGCGCGCGGCCGCATGTTTGCCCAGCCCGCCTTGCCACGAGCTGAGTTTCTTTGTATCGGGGCGGCGTGTCGGCGTTGCCTTGATCGTCGTGCTAGCGACTCATCCTTTGTTGCCTTGATCGTCCCTCGTCCTCGTCGTCGTCGTCGTCCCGCGTCCTCGTCGTCGTCGTCGTCGTCGTCCCTCATCGTTCGTCGTGCCTTGACGTCGCTCTCGGATCGCACGTCTTGAACAGCATCAGCTCCCTTCGCCCTTGACGTCGCTCTCGGATCGCACGTCCTGAACACCACCAGCCCCTTTGGCACTGCAGGCAAGTCTGGGGAGCCGTCCAGCGCAAACTGTATCGCTGAGGCGCCGGCAGGGATATTCTCATGGCATTCGGAGGGAGAGAGTATGGGAGCTGTCCGCTTCCTGGCAGGTTGGCAAGGCTTTGTTGCGCTGTTGTGTTGCGTGTTGGACTTGTTTGATGAACTCGCATGCTCTACATCTTGACGCTGATGCAGCTGTGGTAGGTATTCGATGTTGCGGCAAATGGTTTATTCGTTGCAAGTGTGGCATGGCCGTCCCGGCAGATGATGCAGTCGTTACGACACCTGATGTTGCAGGGTTTGCGACGAGAGCATTTGCTACACCTGGTTTTTGCTTGTTCGGACAAAGATTCGTGATTCTTACGTGACGCTCGTGCCGGAGCTGTTGAAGGTTGGGTTTGTCCTTCAAGCTGACAGGATCAAGACGCTGACCACTATTGCAAGAAAAAACCCGCAGTCTTCACGCCGATGGGTTCGACAACTGGCACTAGACGCGAACAACACAGACTCCACTCATGAATGATTGGGTTGTATGTTGTCCACAGGGTGGTGGTGAGAGGCCCGCACCCTTGATGCGATCTACCAGACAAGGTGCAGCCAAGACAAATTATGCGAATCGGAGTATTCCCTCGGGCAAGCGGCCCCCCATTACAGATTTGTCATAGGTTCAGCTTCGTCGTAACGACAGTGGCTTGCCCTGTGGCAACATTGCCGGCTATACGTGGACGACTTGAAAGCGTTTGGTATCTCATTTTGTTCCAGATGTTGGTTGTGATGCACTATGGCATGGTGATTGCATGCTTAGAGCGAGCGTGCACACAGCTACGTCGGGCGTGGTGGAATTCGCACATGGGCAGCACAATGCGTTCACCAACATTGGTAGTTCGCAGAATTTGTGCTGCATTTCCCCGCGCCGAAAAACATCACAGCAGGCGGGGTTGGTCGCCACGAGGTCGTCGTAGAGCGGGCCAGCCGAATCTCATGTGGATGTGCAACTTGGAAGTTTTCGGCCACGTGTGTTCCATCAGCGAGCCACCGATGTTCATCCGACCTGTTGTCACCATTATCTGGACGCGTCATGTGAATGAACACCATTCAGACGCACGTGCTGCTTCTTAGTATCGTGGCGCGCGCGTGTATATAGGACGTTGCCGATGCCACCGCCTGCGCCCTTCATGGGGTTGAGCTCCCGGTGCACGAGCTTGCCTTTTGACCTTGCGACGAGTTCACGCGCCTTCATGGTGACATCTCACACGTCACCGCGGTCAGCCGAGCATGGACAAGTCGAGGGCGTCTTTTGGTGTCGAGGCGCTGTCGAATGGGCCGAAGACTCGATCGATATCTTCTTCTGCAGCGATGTAGCCGCGGCTGCCACGGCCCCAACGGCAATCACTCAGTTCCCGTCCCATTCCTCCCACGCCCCCGCCCTCCTCGATCCTCCTCCCTTCCCTACCCCGCCCCCCTTAAACCTTAGCCTTCCTTCCCTCGTCCCCCGCCCTCCTGGATGTTCTCCCGGAAGACGTTGTCAAACCTCCATGGCGCAGCGGCGCGCGCAGGGCGGCGGGAGGATGAGGGAGAAGAGCAGCAGCAACATCAGTAGCAGGCGGAGGCAGCAGCGGAGGAGAAGAAGGGGCAGGAAGAGGAGCAGGACCCCGAACCCTGCCCCCCTGGGCCGCGCACGCGCGCCTGGGCCCATGATCTACGGCCCTCCCTCCCTTAGCTGCTTCGATGCGCCCGTTTTGATAACGCCACACTGAGACGCCACACGTGCTGTGCTCAAAAAACGTCCGTGCCGATACGCTGCGTGCTGGTTTGGCGTATTGGCCCACGTTTCGGCGATCGTATCGCGTCAGAGCTATGCTTTCAGTCCTGCGTGTTGAACGCCCTATCACTGCGCTACGTGTGGCGCGTTGCGCCAGGGGGCAGCGAAGCTCCCTCTCGGACACCCCCCTCCCCGAGATGGCCCCCCCACTCCGCTCCACCGCAGGCGCCCGCGCGAGGGGGGCCGCCCGCGGCCACCCCGCGGCCGCCCGACCGGCGCCCGCCGACGCGCCCACCTTTGGGCGCCGCGTAATGGAGGGGCGAGAAAACGAAGGCAGCGAAGGCTGCAGAAGAGGAGCCTTTAGGGCCCCTCAAGGAGCCCTTGAGGTCCCAAAAGGAAGCCCCCAGGGCCCCGAAAATGCACCTGTCCTCCCCTCCCTGCATTTCTCGCAACCCCATTGAGCGTCGCCCACTGCCCGGATTTCCCGCGGGCGCCATGGACGCGCTGGCGCGACGGGGTAACCGGCCTCGAACGCATCCGTATCCGCAGAGGAGGAAAAGGTACCCATCTTGCTACCCTTCCTTCGTCTTCCCGCTCTTGGGTCTCCTGGGGGGCCCTCGTCCCTCCGCTGAGTTCGCTTCGAAGTCTTCATCAGAACGCACCCAGGGGAAGGTCCGGGGAGTGGCGTGAAGTCGGGCCTCGAAAATCCCCTGCACGGGGATTTTCGACGAAAAGAATACCCCACAAATAGTCGAACAATAGTACAACAATAGTTTGGGGACTATTTTTGGCGTATTTGTTTTACCATTATGGCGTTTTTTTGTTTTATTTGTCGTCGAAAATCCCCCTGTAGGGGGACACGCCCGACCTAAGAGTAGCGGTATCGGTACCTTGTTGGTTTCACCAGATTTTTGAGATG